AATTCCCAAAGATCCGACTCATCGCCAGAGTCGTGAGAAGGATCCGTTAGAATTTTAAGAATTCCTACGGATCCTACCACCTCCCAAATTTCTGGGAGGGCCTCCTCAGGAGTCCTAGGAATTTCCAGGGATCCTATCAATTCCCAGACTCGTGAGAGGGCCTCTCAAGTAACCCTAGGAATTCCTAAGGATCCTACCAATTGCTGGATTCCTAAGAGGGCCTCCTAGGCAATCCCAGGAATTCCCAAGGATCCTACCAATTCTTCATATGCCTGGGAGGGCCTCCAGAGGAACCGCACGAATTTTTAACGATCCTACCAATTGCCAGATTCCTAAGAGGGCCTCCTATGCAATCCTACGAATGCGACGGCGTCCCACCAATTGCTCCGATTCCTGGGAGGTCCTCCGAGGGAACTCGAGTAATTTCAAGGGATCCTACCAATTGCCAGATTCCTGAGAGGACCCCCTAGGCAATCATAAGAACTCCTTGCCAGATTCCAGAGAAGGCCTCCGAGAGAATCCAAAACAAATCCGGGAGATCCTACAAATCAGCAGATTCCTGAGAGGCCTGCTTAGGCTCTGCGGAAGCTCTGCAAAAGCTCTTCAGAAGCTCCTCAGAAGCTCTGCAGAAGCTCTGCAGAAGAGAAGCTCTGCCGAAACTCTTTTTTTCCGAAGCATCCTTCCTGCTCACCCTGACCTGCTCCGTCCACCGTCTGCAACGGAGACGGCCGAACGCGGTTCCACGGAGTCGAGGCGCGCACACGCTTGACATCGATGCAAACAAGCGGCAGCACGCTACGCCTGACTCGCGCGTGAAGCGCTGGCGGCGAAATCTGGCACGCAACACAGCGCCCCCGCTGGCTGGCCGTCCCCTGCCTACTCCACCGACCGACTGCTCCGGCTTCTACGGCCACCATCCCTCCAGCTCACCCTCGACTCCTCTATTCACTATCGGCAAACTGCTGATCGCGGTGTCACGGAAAAAAGACGCGCACACGCTTGCCATCGATCAAAACAAGCGGCAACGCGCCAAGCTTGACGACCATTCGGACGACCTGGCAGCACATTGTTTTGCAGGTGGGAGTAGGAAGGAGGGAGAGGTGGAGACCGCACAAAGATGTGTGCAGGAATCCTTCAGGTTGCGATCAGTCCGTTTCCAGTGGTTGTAATCTGACCGAAGCAGTTGCTGAACAGTCCGAAAAGGTCGTAATCGGTCCGAGACGGTCCAACACGGCCCAAGGAGAGAGCCTCAGGACGGTCCACCCCGGCCCAACACGGCCCGAGGATAGTCCAAGAGGCCCTAAGAGCCTTCGAAAACGGCCCACGAGGCCCCCAACAAAAAGCTCCAAGACAGCCACAAACAACCCCAAGGCTGCCAAGGTCGGCCCCAAGATTGCCCAAACGCCATGCAAGAAGGCCCCAGGACAGCCTAATATGGCTCCGATTCGGCCCAAGAGGACCTTAAGATGCCCAAACATTGTCTCAAAGACGGCCGCGGAAACAACCAAAAAAAGAGAGGGTACTCCAGAACGGCGATTGCTCGAACAAGGCAATGAACTGGAACGGGCTGTAAACTCGATTTACGCCCCGCTATGCTGCTGCGCAGTGGCGGAGGTTGGCGCAAGCAGCCTGACATGCGGAGGGTCAAAGGAGGATACTGGATGCAAACTGGGAAGGAAAGGGATGGGGAGGGGGAGGGAGGGCGGAGGAAGCAAGCCCCCTTGGTCTGAGCCCCTTGAAGCTAGCGAACGAGTGTCCTGGGAAGTAGCCACTGTTTGTCAGCCGTTGCAGGTCGGAGCAGGTCGGCTGGCAAGGATGCCAGCTCGATTCGGCGAGCAACGGGAGCATCGGAATGGCATCAAGATGCTGCCAGACAGCCGCTGAGAGTGGTGCAAGGTGGCACGAACCATGCACAGAAGTCTCAGAAGCCCTGCAAAAGGGCCAGCTCTCCTAAGCGCAGGAAAGCACTGCCGCATGCGTCGCCAGAAAGGGCGCACTTGCTTGTCATATACCCACTTCTCAAGCATCCCGCATGGTCACGCGAAGGTTGCTATTGCAAGTGGCGACTCGGAGGAAGGTGCCTGGCCACTCGTCACCACTTTTAGCAAATTCGTGCGCTTGGTACAAGACGCTGGGGGAGTCATCACCTCTTTGTGGTCGTCTTCCCCAAGCAAGCCTCCGACGGCAAATCCTGATCGCCCCAAATGCTTCACATGCACATTCAAGTACAAGTTGCCACTCTCTGTGCGTCCGTGGACGACTTTCAGCTCGACAGGACCAACAACGACCCATTGCGGAATCGTCACGGCGTTTCGCCGTACGCTATAGTGATACCCTCCAACTTGCTTAGCCTCTGCCCAAGAGCCTGTAATGTTCAATTCTTCGAAATACATATCCCAACAATTTCCACCCGTTCGACGCGCATCGGCCTGCACCCGAAGCAATGCGTCATCAGCGCTCACTCCACGAGGGATGTTTATCAGAACATGTTTGCCCGGCTTCATTAAATCGAACCGCTCGCCGTGAACGTTTTGAAGGTGCGGATCGCCGGTGGCAGCCACGCCGCCGGCGGTTCCGCCCGCCATGGGAGCTGCGGGAAGAAACGATGGACTTGGCGTCGGCCAACCCAAAAGATACGTCGGACTGGGCGTCGGGCTGGGCGTCGGGAAGGGCGTCGGGAAGGACGTCGGGTAGGGAGTCGGGAAAGCCGTGGGGTAGGCCGTCGGGAAAGCCGTCGGGTAGGGCGTCGGGAAGGCCGTGGGGTAGGCCGTCGGGAAAGCCGTCGGGTAGGGCGTCGGGAAGGCCGTGGGGTAAGGCGTCGGGAAAACCGTGGGGTAAGACGTTGGAACAGCTGTGGGGAAGGGCGTCGGGAAGGACGTCGGGTAGGGAGTCGGGAAAGCCGTGGGGTAGGCCGTCGGGAAAGCCGTCGGGTAGAGCGTCGGGAAGGCCGTGGGGTAAGGCGTCGGGAAAACCGTGGGGTAAGACGTTGGAAAAGCTGTGGGGTAGGGCGTGGGGTAGGGCGTGGGGTAGGGCGTGGGGTAGGCCGTCGGGTACGGCGTCGTCCGTCCCGTGCAAACGTATTTGCACACGTCTTGCTGTCCTTGAGTTCCACCGCAGCAATTGCAATAGTTGCCCCAATGAATAGTCGGACTACCAGAATTCCAGTGCTTGGTGTACCAGTTATACCCGCAACGCGTGCATCCCAGCTTACACACTGCTTCAGTCCGTAGCTCTGCGGCGTCCATACCGTCCGACCCATTCACTGACATCTGCATGAGCTGCATATCGGCGCCAACAATGTAAGCGAGCGCGGATGCCGCGGGAAAGATCAGTTTGTGTACCATGTTTGTGATGACGAACGCCAAAAAGTGTAGCAATGAATGTTCAGTAGCGACGATCCAACGCGACGCGTTCACCTTGAGCCACGGTGGCCACGGAATGGGAGGTTTTGGGCTGCTTTCGGCCTCCAGGGGTCCTTCGCCGGGCCTCGGGGCCGTCAGAAAACGGCCCGCTCCAGGGCCCACGCATCGAACAAATTTGGAGCAGCTGCACTTCTGGGAACGGCATAATGAAACGTATGGCCCACGGCCGGACCTAGGAGACATAAAACCACCCTTCGACAACATGATACCTTCAACATGAAAACGCCAGCGCTGGGAGCGGCGTCGGGAACGGCCTCGGCGTTGCAATAAGGTTTCACCTCAGCACAACCACTAATCTTGACGCCGATGCCGCTCGCAAGCGCAATATTTTGGGCGTCGTCATCTGCGCACTTCAGCGTGAAACTCACACCGATCGAGGTCGCCGTGGGTACGCTGAGACTGAGAACGACTGCGACAACGGACCACGCGGTCCAAAATGCCATCTGGACCGTCAACCTACGGGACAGAAAGAGAATGGCCCGACGGTTGCATGTTTCCGCGATTGTGGAATACGAGCAAAATGGAAGATGTTCCAGGTCTGCCTGAAACAAGATGCTTGGGACGGACGGCCAATTTACACCATGCGTCCACCATGGCCATCACTATTTCGAGAGAGCGGGGGGAAGGATTCTCAAGTGGCGGTCTGGAGGCTGACGCGCGGCACGGTTGACTTCCGAGGTGCGCGTTGCAGCGCGGGTGGGGTGGGGGGGGGGAGAAGGGTGGCGAGATACAGCGATAGAGTTGGCGAGGGAGAGGGAGGGAAGAAGATAGAGGGAGGGAAGGGATGAATGAATGCATGAATAACTTTTGGAGTCCTGCCGTCACCTCTGTCATACTGCCACGCCTCGCTGTGCCAGGCTTATTTCCAAAGAAGTGGCGGGAGGGGAAACCTGAAAAGGCTTCCTTGCCCGTTTGATGTGCTGGAAAGGGAACCTGAAAAAGGCTCCCTGGCCAGTGGCGGGAAGGGAAACCTGAAAAAGTTCCCCTTCCCGTTTGATTTGCTGGAAAGGGAACCTGAAAAAGGCTCCCTGGCCAGTGGCGGGAGAGGAAGCCTGAAAAGGCTTCCTGGCCCGTTTGATGTGCTGGAGAGGGAACCTGAAAAGGCTCCCTGGCCAGTGGCGGGAGGGGAAACCTGAAAAGGCTTCCTTGCCCGTTTATGTGCTGGAGAGGGAACCTGAAAAGGCTCCCTGGCCAGGGTTCCCACCTCCGCGCCCGAAAACACTGCCGTTCGTCTGCGCGTGATTTACTGCCGGAACCAGAGCCTGAACCAGAGCCAGAAACAGACCCATAACCAGAAGCTGAACCAGAGACAAAACAAGAACCAGAGCCAGAATCAGCATCAGAGCCAGAGCCAGAACCATAACCACAACCAAAGCCAGAACCAGAGCCAGAGCCAAAACTTGAACCAGAGCCAGAACCAGAGCCAGAACAATAAATATAACCAAAGCCACACGTGGAGCAGTCCAGCACAGTTCCAATTAGACATAATATCATCCTCCTCCTCATCCTCCTCTTCCTCGTAGCCGCCCTGGCCCAAACTTCCCTCGAGCAGCGGGTTCCGCCGTGGTCTTTGCCGCGATGAAGCGGCCCGCTGGCGCGATGAAGCGGCCCGCTGGGGCCACCATCCCAACCAAGAAAATGATGTCGAAACGCTCAGACAAAGCGTTCCGCCCTTTCCCAGTGCCTAAGCGCGGCAAGGGCATCATGGGCCGTGACCAGAGTGCCATGAAGCAGAAGAAGAAAAAGAACAGCATGAAGGCCTCCGTGAATTATACCCACAGCGGCACGCTGCCCACGACGACCCGAAAAGAACGTGAGCAATGGCGCCGCTCCCTCGCCAACTTCGATGGGGAAGTCTGAGGAGGACATGGTGTCGATGCTGATCGAGGACAACATCTTGATTGATTGGTCGGGCCGCATCTGTCCGCACTGCGGGCAGGGCAAGCTCGGCAATCGGCGTGTCCAGGCGGACGGGGCGGTGAAGTGGCAATGCAACAGCGGTCGGCGGCGCGGGAAGCAGGTGGGCGCGTGCCACGGGCACCCCGTGTTCAGCGACGGCAATGGACAGAGCAAGATGTCGCTGATGAACAAGGTCAAGATGTTGTTCTGCCTGTTGATCGGGATGACCACCGCGTAGATCCACCTCCTGCTCAACGTCAACCACAAGGCTATCGAACGCATGTCCAAGTACCTGGATGCAGCCCGCCAGCGGTTCGTCGAGAAGAAGGAGGAGGAGATCGTGTTCGGGGGCGACAAGGAGTGGGTGGACGTGGAAGCGGACGAGACGGTTTTCCGCGCGGCGCTATCAGCTGACAAGAAAACGAAGGAATGGGAGCAGTGGGCTGGCTGCGTTGAGCGCGGGCGCCCACAGAGCTTGGTACTGCGGCGCACCAACAACGACACGACCGTCCCGAAGGCGCCAGGCCCTGGGGCAATCACCAAGTCAGACTGGAAGCCGTTCTTGCTCAGCCGCCTGCATCACCATAAGGTCATCCTCCACTCCGACGGCGCCAAGAGCTACAATATCCGGGCGGATGGGGTCCTACATGACTGGGTCGTGCACGCGCGGAAGCGCAAGACAATCTGCGGCAAGTGGGTGTGGCTCAAGCCCGCGTTCACCAAGCTGGTGCGTCACAAACTGCCTGAGGGCGGCTCCATCCTTGTGAAGGGCGGTACGCAGATCGTGGACAGGGCCTGGCAGTTCTTGAAGGAGCACATCGGCAGCCGCACTCTGAAGCCCAAGAGTAGGGCACTGGCCAGCAGGATTCGTTCGGGACAGTGGGAGCACTGGAACAAGGGCAACGACCTCTGGGTGGCCACGGGTGACATGATCTACGAGGAGATGGGCGGCGTGTACTGAGGGTGGGGGTGCCATTGCTTTCGCTGAATGCGGGGTTTAACTCTGGGGTGCTTTCTGCGTTGCTGTATGCTGGGCCAGCATGGCGAGAGTGCCCAAGCGAAATGTGCGCAGTTACGCATATAGCTTTCGGCTTGTTCCATGACGTCAATACTAGCGAAGAAACAGTTGTATTCACCAGTGCCGTCGCCACTCTTGCCACCTCGCAGCAGCGGCGACGTCCTTGCCAACATCCCTCTGTTCGTAGCTGTTTGGGCTCAATCGCAGGGTTCAGTAGTTCGCGCTTGCTGCCCCCAGCTGCCAATCTTTCACTTCGAGCTTCCGTTTGCACCCGCTGTCTGCCATGGCGAGCTTGACGGCTGGCGGCATCAAGTCAATGGGAGAGATCTTCGGCGGCGACGCCTCCGCAACTGATCAAATCAAAAACACGTGGCTGCACATGGCGGCGGTGCAGTCCTAGAAGACGCTCGACAAGCCCGAGCGTTTCCAATCAGACAATCAGACCCTCCCGCTGCGTTCGTCCTCCGCGACGTGCCGCTCCAGTGCGCGGACAACGTCGTGAATGTGAAGCATTTAGTGGATTGGGTGACGTTGGAGGATGGCGCCGCGGAGCAATTAAACACAGTCGACGTGCATGACACCATGTGCGGGGGCAACTACATGGCGTTGCCAGCCCCGTTTAGGCCCAACAAGGCTCATGGCGAAATCGCCTTCACCATGCAGCTGCACATCTTGCCGAAGGACGCGAACGGCGAGCAGCACGCGCTGAAAAACGTCAGGTTCGACAACAAGGTTCGGACCGACATTGCCAAGGATATCTTCGTTGCAGGCAGGGCGCTCACCATCCACTGGGAGAGTTCGGCCGACACTAAGACGCCACTCAAGCTCTTTCACTACGTGGTGGACAGGCTGGGCGGGGTGCAGATCCGCCATTGGGTTCGGCCGTCCGCGGCCGCCGCCGTCGGCGGTGGCGGTTGCGACGAGGAGAAGCGAAGGGCGGGCTATCGTTTCATAGAGGAGTTCGGCCCGAGGGCAAACAACCGCAACCAGCTCGTGGAGTGGACCGATGAATAGATCAACGACGAGAAGTCGCCGACCTTTGGCTGGCAAGTATCGGAAGTCAAGGAGTCGCTCCGCAGATGCGCGCCGGGCTCTGTTGGCGCGAGGACACTCGAGCGCTGGGCGATCGCGCTCAAGCGCTTCCACCCGTTCGTGTTCGACAACATCGTCGTCCCCATTCTCAAGAGCCACGACGTGCACGGGGCCATGTGGATCGGCAAGACCAGGGTCGGCAAGTCCACGGCGTCGAAAAACCATCGGCTTCGCAATCTCCGCCTACCAGATTGATAAGAATAACCGCACCGACCTCCGTCCGAGCGTCGTCACGACGAAGAAAATCGACTTCTGGCGGCTCGAGCCTGGAACTGCGTGCAAGCCCGCTATCGCGGACGACGCCGTCCTCACGAAGTGGGCCCCCGATGGGATCAAGGCCTTCCTGGGCCCCGCCGAGGAGGGCGCGCTGCTGTGGGCGAGGCCGCAGGGCGCGGATGACGCACGCCGTCGAAGAGCATCAACAATCAAGCACCCAAACGGCGACAAACCATGTTTCATATGTCGGTTCTGGTGTGCGTCGTTTCCGCGCGCTGCATAGGTGGGGCGGCGCCTCCTTCGAACAGAACCAGCCCCGCCAGATCTGCGTCAACCCCTGCGACCAGGAGTCCGGGAAGAAGGTGCGTTCCATCCGCAGAAGCCAACAAGTGATCAAATTCGACGACTTCCTCAAAATCATAGATCGCAACTTCGCTGGCGAGAAGCAGTGCGACTGCCAGATGGCGGACGTGGAGGCGTGCGTGGCGAGGTCCAACATCGCGCTCCTCACTGACGACTGGATGCACCTGTGGCTGGCGTCTACGACTAAGGATCCAGTCCCCCGCTTCCCGCGGCCAGTGCCCGAGAAGCCAGACCTCTTCACGCCCGAGACCACCCCTTTATCCTGAAGCGGTTCAAGAAGGACCAGACCTTCGCGCCGCCCGACTACGGCGCGCACATGAAGTGGGCCGTGGCCGACATGAAGAAGCTTGCTCGCGGCGAGGACATCGGGCGCTCGAGGACGGTTCGCGGCCCCACACTCTTCGACCAGGACGCGCCCCCGAGGTATGAGTTCGCTGCAATGGACGGTGAAATGAACGTCGGCGCCGACGCATCCGCCGCCGCCAGCGCGGCCGCGCCCCCTGCGCCCGCCATCCCAGGCAACCCAGATGACGACGACGCCGACTCTGGTCTCGGCGGCGAGATGAGAGGCGCCGCCGCAGCAGAAGACGAGGAAGACGTCTTCGGCTTCGGCGGCGGGATGGATGGCGACGACGCCCCCCCCCCCCCCCCGCGGCCGTCGCGGCCGCGCCCCCCTCGCCTGCGGTGGCGATCAAGAGGGAGCCAGGGGTGTTCCACCAGCGCCTCCAGAAGTCCAAGGATTGCGGCGTCATTCATTTGGACGCGCCGACGCCGAAGAAGAAGCGCACGGACCTCGAGGAGGACCTCTCGCAAATGCTAGAGGACGACGGGGTGACGGGCGCCGCGGCAGCGAGTTCGGGCGCTGGCGCGCCTGCGCGAGGGCGCTTGCGATGGCTGGCGCTCTGAGGGGTGTGATGTGTAAACGGCGTTTGCGATTGCGGCTGGAGGCCGCTGTGAGGGGTGCCATTCTGCAACGGGCGGGGCAGCAAGCGGCGAATGCTGCCTCGTTGGAGTCACCTGACTTGCGCGCGTACGACGTCCCCCAATGAACAAATAAGGGGTCGCGCGGCTTGTGTTTTCCAGGTTTCCCAAGTCTTCCCAGGCACTGACCGTTGAAAAACCATGTGTTTTCCAGATATTCCAGATCTCACCAGAAACCACCCACGTGAAAAACAATGTGTTTTCCAGCTTTTCCAGATATTCCAGATCTTCCCAGAGACTACCCAAGTGAAAAACATTACGTTTTCCAGATTTTCCAAATATTCCAGATCCCCACAGAGCCTACCCAAGTGAAAAACATTGCGTTTTCCATATTTTCCAAGTATTCCAGATCTTCCCAGAGACTTCCAGCTGAGTGAGCGTTTCTCCACGGTCAGTGTCTGGGAAAACCTGAAACATATTGAAAACCTGGAAAACACAACGTTTCTCAAAGGCCAGTTTCTATGGAAACGCTGAAAATCTGGAAAACACAGCTTTTCTCGACGGTCAGTGTCTGGGAAAAACTGGAAAACATGGAAAACTTGGAGAACACAGCTTGTCTCAACGGTCAGTGTCTGGGAAAACAGGGAGAACATGGAAAACCTGGAAAACACAGCGTTTCTCAATGGTCAGTGTCTGGGAAAACCTGGGAAATCTGGAAAACCTCGAAAACACAGCGGTTCTCAACGGTCAGAGTCCCGAGAGAGCCCAGAGACAGAGGGAGGAGAGAGAGAGAGAGAGAGAGGCGTGGCCCTCTCCGATACCGTTCTGGGCATCGCTCGGACGTCCATTCCCTGTGTTTTTTTCGGTTTCGTGGGTGGCTTTTTCGCCAAATGACCAAGGATGCTCCTCGATGGCCCTCGCCGAGAACAAATGCACACGTCCGAGCGATGCCAGGCGTTAGGTCGGGCACGTCCTCCTACAGGCGGGTCTTGGACAATAAAGATAGCAAAAACCGAAGAGCCAAAAACTGTCGAATGGGCACGACAGATGGTCATCAGACCATTTTGCAGATCGTGCGGTGTCGGCCGAGCCCAGGCCGCCCGCGGCGTTCAACCCGAGACGCCCGCGCGACACGGCACGAGCCCGCGGCTCAGGGCCGCAGCTCACCCAGACCTCCGGCGCCTCGAGAGCTTCTCGAGACAGGGCCCCTGGAGTTCTGGACCCTCTCCCCGGGGCCGGCTCGTCAGCCCGAGCCGTCTCTGGAAGGTCCAGGGGCCCGACGAGGCCCCCCGGAGGCCACACACTGCGAGAAACCTCCGCCTCGGGTTCCTCGAGACGCTGGAGGTCCGGCAGGGCGCCGCCCCCGACCATCACCACCCTATAGATGGGGATATCGGCGGGTTCCTTCGGGCTCCGAGAGGTATGTCCCCAACTGGGATGCTGATCTGGATGGGGATGGGAATGGGGATGGGGACGGGGGCCGGTTTAGCCAGGCCCCCGACGTTGTGATTTTTTCAGAAGTCGACCCCCAGAGGTCTCGACCTTTTCTTTCCTTTTGACCAGTTTTGCACCCCGAGCCGTGCTTTGACGGTCCCGAGGCCCGGTGAGCGCCTCGAGAGGCCGGACATAGTCGGGAGCGGCCAAGAGGGGGGTGTCCAAGAGGGGGGGGTGCAAATCATGACCGGCGGCATGTGCGCGGCCCCGCGGGGGGGGCCAGGGACGCAATGAAATAAGAAGAGGCGCCATGAGATCTGGGGAAATATCATGGCCCACGCCATGATATCCCCCCCCCCTACCCAGACCCCCGACGTCGTGATTTTTTCGCAACGTCGACCCCCAGAGGTCTGGACCCCTTCCCCATGACCGGCTTTGCATCCTGAGTCGTTTTTTGACGCTCCCGAGGCCCGGTGAGGGCCCCCGGGGGCCGAAAATAGCGAAAAACCTCCCGTCGTGATTTTTTCACGACGCCAGGAGGTCTGGGCTCTTTTCCGCCCCCGACATAGCGAGGCGCCTGCCGTCGTGCTTTTTTTGCCCGCCGGGCGGGGCGTGCACGCGCGCGCGGGGCCTCGGCGCCTGGCCCGCGGTGTCTTGGAGGCACCGGTGGCAGCGCGCGCCCAGGCCTCCAACGTCCCCAGACCTCCTGGCGTCGTGAAAAAATCACGACGGGAGGTTTTTGGCTATTTTCGGCCTCCGGGGGTCCTCCCCGGGCCTCGGGAGCGTCAAAAAACGACTCAGGACGAAGAACCGGTCCCGAGGAAGGGGTCAGACCTCTGGGGGTCGACGTTGCGAAAAAATCACGACGTCGGGGGTCTGGGTCTGGAGCAGCTCGACAGGCCCAGAGACCCCCTTGGGGTCATGCAGAAATCACGACGGCACGTGCTTCGCTGTCTTCGGCCTCTGGGGGCCCTCACGGGGCCTCGGCACCGCCAAAGCACGGCCCGGGATGCAAATGGTTCGAGGCCTCTGGGGGTCCTACGCCCTGAAGCTTCAAGGGGTGAGCTGAGGAGGAGGAGGAGGAGGAGGAGGAGGAGGAGGAGGAGGAGGAGGAGGAGGAGGAGGAGGAGGAGGAGGAGGAGGAGGAGGAGGGAGGGAGGGAGGAGGAGGAGGAGGAGGGGAGGAGGAGGAGGAGGAGGAGGAGGAGGAGGAGGAGGAGGAGGAGGAGGAGGAGGAGGGGAGGAGGAGGAGGAGGAGGAGGAGGAGGAGGAGGAGGGAGGAGGAGGAGGAGGGAGGAGGAGGAGGGAGGGTTTTCTCAATTTTTCGGCCTCTGGGGGCGGCCTCGCCGGGCCCCAGGACCGTCACAAGACGACTCGGGTAGGAAGGCACCAACTATACACCAACACCGATCCTGGCCAGGATCACCCTGGGCGCAGGATCGGTGTATACGTCCTCCTGCCTTGCGCAAGAAGGCATATACACCGATCCTGGGCCCAGGGTGATCCTGGCCAGGATCGGTGCTGGTGTATAGTTGGTGCCCTCCGATCGGGATGAAGATCGGGCTCCAGGGAGGAGGTCTGTACCTCTGGTAAGACGAAGCTAGGACGAGGATACAATCGGGTACGGGTAAACCGAGAATCTCGGAGAACTGGCGGATCTGGAGAATGTCTCGGGCGCCGCGGCCTTCCCAGAGCGTTCCAGAACGCTCTGAGAGGGTCCCGGAACGCTCTGGATCGGATGCATCCTCGTCCAGGCCCCGCCCGATCTGGGTACCCCGTCTTGGCAGCGCGCAGAAGGGGGTAGGGGGAGGGGGGAAGGCTTCTTAGAAGCACCCTGCTTCTTAGAAGGCCTCGGCCTTACGTCTATAGAGAAGGCCCGCGCCTTCTAGGAAGCAGGGTTGCTTCTAAGAAGCCTTCCCCCCTCCACAATTACACAATATGAAAATACTCTCCCACTTCCCCTGATGGAGACCCGAAGATATCCCCCCCCCGCGTATTGTTTTTTACACAGGATTCCCGGGAAACGGGTTTTCGCTTGTGTTTTTTTCGAAATGCTGCTCTCGCCGAGGCGCCGGCCTCATTTTCGGGCCCCGCTCGTTCCGAATCGTGCTCCCGCTGCAGCGCTGGTCTCATTTCCGTGCTTCCACTCGTTCCGAATCGTGCTCCCGCTGCAGCGCTGGCCTCATTTCCGCGCTTCCGCCCGTTTCGACTCGTGCTCCCGCTGCAGCGCTGGCGTCATTTCCCGTGCCATGCCACAGCACACGCGCACACACGCACACACACACACCACCACCACCACCACCACCACCACCACACGCACCAGCACCAGCACCAGCACCAGCACCAGCACCAGCACCAGCAGCAGCACCAGCACCAGCAGCACCAGCACAGCAGCACCAGCACCAGCACCAGCACCAGCACAGCAGCACCAGCACCACCACCACCACCACCACAACCACGCACACACGCACGCACGCACGCACGCGCACCCCACCCACTAGTCCGCGGATAGAGAAAATCAGCGCCATGGTAAGGGATGGGAGGGAGGGGTAGGACGTCAGATATGACGCGCGCGCACCTAGCTTGCCCTACCCCCCTCCCCAGACCCCCCACGTCGTGATTTTTTCACAACGTCGACCTCCAGAGGTCTGGACCCCTTCCCCGGGACCGGTTCTTCGTCCCGAGTCGTTTTTTGACGCTCCCGAGGCCCGGTGAGGGCACCCGGAGGCCGGAAATAGCGAAGAACCTCCCGTCGTAATTTTTTCACGACGCCAGGAGGTCTGGGTCTGCGCGTTGCCGACCGTCTCGAGAAGCTCAAGACGTCGGATGCCTGGGCTCGGGCAGGGCGCCGCCGTGGGCGCGGGGGCCTGGGCCACAGGCAGGTCCGCCCCCGCGGGCGAAGCCTCGGACGA